TGTCTGTACGCTGTAGACCAACTTAAGCACGATTGAATTTTCGATGAAAGGGATGCCTCATTTTTTAGTCTAGATATTGCACTGGTTGCCAAAAAGTACTATGGCATTAGCGGTCCTCCAGCTTGACTTACAATAGATAGTATTGTCACTAGAGTTGACGTTAGTCAGTCGCTTCTCGACTGTTTCAACGTTCTGTCAGATGGACTTCGACTCCCCTGCATTCGGCATAGCATTAATAATAAGCCGACCTTCATAGCCATCGACAATACAGTAACTTTCAGCCATAAAAAGTACTTCGTTGCGAACTCGATTTCCTGTAGACCATCAGTTTAGTTTACTCACACTTCGGACTAACCCCTGGTATTCTGTACCATGACGAATTATTCATTCACTTTCTCAGGTGAAGTTTCACATGTTCCAATTTCAGGTCGATCATCGGCTCCTTAATCGCTTCAACATGTAAAGACGTACTTGGAAAATAAACTCTGAGAGGGAGAGAGTAAAATCGCTTTTACTACGCAAGTAGATGCTTTTGACTCATCCTGTAGCAAACACTTAGCCTCTCGTATGATGGCAGCGTCGTTTTCGAGATTAGAAATGCAAAGAACCTTATGAGCAACAATTTTCCCATGTGGTCAAAAGGGTCATTTCTTGGCTGTTGACAATATCTGTGGAAAATATTAAAATAACCTTTTTCCTGAACCCATGGTCTTTATGGATGACAATCTGCACATAATCAGCAAGCATCGGTTTTTATGGAGCGGCGGATCTGCACTTAAGATCAGCACCAACTATTTCAAAGTAGTAAAATGATTCCCTTTGACTGAAATAGAAGCGAGGTTATTCAAGAACTGGTAAACCATCCTCCAGATTAAGTACGGCGCTGCAAAAGTTCAGGAAGTCCAAACTTTACACGAAGACAACGCATACATCCTGCTTTACAACTTTTCGTAACCCGCTACTTTCATATCCTGAAGACCATTTGACAGTCGACCGTCTCAGACCACTCGGATATGGAAGGCGTGATAACCAAGGATTGTCAGATCCAGTCTACTATGTTCGATTCTTGCTCACAGTGCCTGGCAGAACTGTAACCATTCGAAATTGAGTTTTGCCTCAATCTCTCTAGGTTGATCCAAGTGCAGGCCAACCAGATGCGTGAACAAAACAAAACCTTCTAATATGGAACAGTTTAACGCCGTTACTGCTAGAGTTTGCAGCTCATTTGCCTCACCGTCTATATGCCTATAATATAACTGATGTTCAGTTCCAGCTAAGAGAAAAGTATCTTATTTTTACAGCTGGTCAAAATAATTAGAGCATCATGTTCTTTACTTATTCATCTCCGAAATAAACATCATTCTTCCCATCTTGTATATAGAGGATCAGTTCCACTGGAATCTCAACGACTCTGTAGGTGGATTTTCCTACATTGTATGTTTCAGTTGTAATGGTGATATCACAGAAACAGTTATCTTCATGACCATCTGCGAACTGAAACCCAGCGTTTTTGATTATATAATCCCGTACTATTAGGTGGGATGATTACTTGTTTACCAGCTATAGGGCACTGAAGAGGGTATATCCGAATGTCATAGATTTATGTATGTTTGCCAACAAAGACCACAGTCATCCTCTCAGCAGCTTCAGTAGCAGCGAGGTTCAACCTCAATCGGTCTGAGTCACCACTAGCCGTGATGCCGCCATCTTAAATGCGTTTATGAATAGCTTGAGAACGTGGATAAGTGGCAAGCGCATGAGTTCTTGGAGAGCATGTAGTTTCAGACGTCGATAATTGATGTTAACTAAGGAGCTGAAGAATTGAAATTCCTCGCTTGGACAAGTTTTTCTTTTCTCATCCTTCTGTAGTACGTCAACAGTGGACAAAGACTGGTCTTGACGCCGTCTCTTCTGGGTCAGACGAAACTTAACCTTTTGAACTCTGAGTTTATAAAGTTGATTTGTGACTGGTTTTGCATTGCTTTTTTCCCAGATTTGGACATGTTTGATTTGACCGACCTTTGGAAAATTTATGACGACACAGAAATTCAGAAAAACCAATGATATACAGGCTTTTTGTACTCAAGAGGCAAGTGAAATCCAGTTGCTCGAAATTAACGAAAAAAATCTTCTTTAAATGGTACGGCAACGATGTCATCGAACATTCACGCTTTTTTCGTTTCGATATTCAGAATCATGCCTTTGTTCGCACTGACCAGCCGAATAGCAACTGAACACTTTTCATCGAAATTTTGGAGACGGCTTATACTTATGCGGTACTAACAGCTCAAAGGTCATCATCATCAACTTTATCGATCCACTGCTGGATGAAGCCCTCTCCAAGATTTTGCTATAGTCTACTTTTTCTGTCTTTCTTTACTCATTATAATTTTTAGGGAACTTCTTCAGCTCATTCTGTCATCTATTCAGAGGTTTTTCTCTCGTTCAATCCAGTCTAATGTCTCTTTGTTCCGGAGATTGACGATTCTTCTTGAAATGTGTCCTGTCGATTGCCACTTCGACATCTTTACCCTCGCAATGACATCGCAGACTCTTGCTTGGCCTTTTACGCATTAATTCGTCGTCTCATACTTTCATATTCTTCCCAACATGTTGGGTTACAGTTACCACGCTGCGTTCCGTAGTCTACGGTTTATGAACGGCTTTCAGGGTTACGGTTCATTCAACACTCTCAGAGGTTAGCATTGGGAGCCTACATTAATCGAAAATTTAACAGTTTCCGGATGATAATATTTTCAGTGTTCCAAAAGTGTGCTGATTTAACATGGCCAACTCTCCGTTGCAGAGATGAGTTGTTCCGGTTAGAGGTAGTTTCGCCCCGCTTCAAGCCTATGCTTCTCGCCGTCAACAGGTCAGTCGGTCACATGAGTCTTCTGCAGGCTCATTTTATGACCCACTTCGATGTTGGCTTTTGGATTCTTCGTTGGAGTCTTCTGGTGCCTTTACAAGAATCAGAATCTCATCCACCATATATGTTGAGCCATCATAATGTGCCCATTTATGTTGAACTCCTGATTTGCCAAGTGGAGTGTCATGAGAACCTTTTTTAACGCTGTATTGTGAATAACTACAGTGATATTGCGCTGCCTTGCTGGACGGCCTTTTCGATTCTGAACTTTCTGGTAATGTTTGACACTAGCGCTTGCATTCTCGTATATCATGGCGATGCAACCTCTGCATTTTTTCGATTCCTTCACTCCTCAAGGAATTCAATGCAGAACGGATTTAGTCTGAGTTGAAAGTTTTCTCGAAACTTATGAAACCCAGACAAAGAGGAAATTCATATTTGTCATGTACCTGAATTATGTGTCAGCTGGAGATGGTCAATCGTACTAAATCCACTTCGGAATTCTGCTTGTTCCTCTGGCCATGCAGCAGCCAGTTATTCTTGACGTCTATTCGTCAGCACGTTCGAACAGATTTAACAAAGTTCTAAAGTCACACTACGATAATCTCAGTTGACAGTCATAACCGCAGTTTGTTGTCTCCACATGCCATGGGATTATGGGTTAGTGTGGGAGCGTCATATTTACATTACCTACAAGTTCACGTCGGGAACTTTCTGCAATCGGAATGAAAAGCTGTAGCGCAATCGACGACTGTTAAAAATCCACTGGATCCTTCAGAACTGCAATGCGTAACTGCTCAATGCTCACACATTGGAGCAAATGTTGCGATACTAAAGTCGCTTAATGAAGAAAGCTCTTGAATGAACAAGACAGTATACTGTAACGGCACCCTCTGGGCATGACAGTACAAATAGAATTCAGCTGGGGCTTCATTACATCCAGGAATTGGATTAAAATGACTTCCAGTGAGGCGACTTAAATCACCCATGAATGACAGATAAGATCAATACAATGTGGTAAGTGTATCGTGCCGTCCGTCGTCTAGCAAAACGATGAACGAGACTGGCTGATTGTTGGAAGACGGCAACGGCACTGCAAGAAAAACATACATTCGTATGAGACCAAAACGGAGACCCATGTGACGTAAACGAGATCAAGACTGGAAACAAACAAAACGATGTTATGACTTGAAACTGCGAGCTTTTATCCGGAAAATGGCGTGAGTTCCTGTTAAAGGATTCAGAACCAAAAGTGTCTCATGTGTCAACGTTAGAATTTTAATTAAACTGACCTTAAGACCACAGATGGTGACACTGAATGGAAAAATCACCAGTAGGCAAATCTGGTAATGGTGAGAGAGTGCTGGCATCATAGGCTAGAAAAAAACAGTGATTTTTTTCTGGTACTGCTGATCCCAAAATTCCATAGAGCCGTGGCATACTTAAATGTCTCGTCAGGCAGATAGGAGCAGGGGTGCAATATTCCGTGAAGTCAGACCTTGTGGGAATTATGCGTTAACACATATTTTTATGGTGATATTTATGTGCCCAAACGAAGATTTGAAAGTTTTGGTTTTTAAAATTTAATAGCCTTATATGAACCGTAAACTTCGATCATTAAGAAACTGCTTTCCAAGTATCGACGTCGTGAGCTATCTAAGTTCTGCATCAACGTAAACTATACGCAGCATGATTCATGTCGGCGGTGATGCATTTTTTAGGCCATAGCGTTAAGGGGTAAGTCATCGACCACAGTGACGATGGGCAATGCTACAATGAGCAAAATGGGCTCCTTTTCTACTTGGTCTTCTTCTTTTCCAGCGCATTCCATGTAAATGTGTCAAGCTGATTAGACCCTTCTACATTCAGGTTTAGCAAGATGGTCGTTACCAAGCTACGGTATCGGTTACTGTATAAAATGGCAGAATCTGCTTGAATTGCTCCCCTAGGCTTGCAGAAGCAAAAGAACAATGAGCTTACGTTGAGTAAATCCCTGATTAGTAAGTGACGTAATATTTACCTGGAGAATTAGAGGGCTAACACTGGTAGCAGCTGCCCCAGAATTTCAAGGATGTATTTTGAGAGTGGCAGAAACAAGGTGGTGGCGTGTTTACGTCCGGCAAATTCAGTATTAGGAATAGAAATGAAATTATGTTTTTTGTTAACTGATTTTCGATTTAATGTAATTGAAATTACGTGTGTCCTGCTGCCTCTGTATACCTAACCAATTATGATAAAGTTCAGCTTGGATTAGCCCATTGGATTGAAATTGCTTCAATGATTGTGTAACAAACTGCAATTATAAATGCAGCTTTCCGTTCTAAGGTTGAGAGACAACCATTCTGGACCAACCTTTCGGTGTTGAGCAATTTAAGTGTTGAGAAAAGTGTTAATTTTTCCTCTCCAGGTGTCATGCACTCGTTCACTAACATCTCGATATTTCTTTCAGTATTTGATTTCGTAAAGATAGGTGGTTTCACCATATCCTCATTCAGTTGCCTATATGCGTAGCTAATGACTAATTAATTTGCCTGAATATCGTAATTCAAAAGCAATGTCTGGATGACACCTGGTACAGGCGAAACATGTACAGAAATGCGGTGTCGAAAAAAGCAGCAATGCGAATGACGGATTTAGACAGTGCAAAGGGCACGACCTCGAGCGCACGAATCACGTTTGCACTGGTTATACTGACTGGCGATGATTTAGAGATTACCGGCACCGGACACCGTCACCGACGGTCAGAAGACAGGTGAGGCAATACCAGTGGCAGTTGGACGGTGCGGACGACGACGAGGTGGTGGACCGAGACGACGGTGACGACAGCAACGACCACCAACTACAGTACAACGATCCATCGACCGGAAACGTGAACGACATGCAAATGGTGGCGTATGGCTCGCCGTACGGGCGACACCAGTTCCGTGTGCCAAATAGGCAAGCGTCGGCTAGCCTGCAGATGTATGAGCCGATATATAGTATGATGTACAGCGGCGTACCGCCAATGTGGCCAGCTGGTCAAGCTCGTCATCAGCGCCCTTCGGTCTCACAGTCGGCCGCCATTTACCTACCGTTTCCGCTGCCGATCGGTTTCCTGCCAGCGCCGGCCATGTCGTCCTCCTACCCTCCTCATCCTCCTCCACCGCTTGCCCCTCTACCGCAGTTCCCTCTCACACTACCTCCATCACTGCCGATGACGAATATGGATTTTGAGATGTTCACTTACAAATACGGCAAGAAAAGACCGCCGAGGAAGAAGAAGAAAAGACCACGAAGTCTAGATCGCGTGAGGC